TGCTGCTACTAATATCAACACGACTAACGTTGCTATTGGCGGTCGAGTAGCCTAGTTGTTAAAGCGTTCGTTCGTCACGCAAAAGACCCCGGTTCGATTCCCGACATGGGTACAATATGTGAAGACGATTTCTGGCGTAAAACCAAATTCACTACGTCAAACATTTTATTCCATCCTATGTAAATAAACTTATATCACAGCAGTCAGACACTATATCTGTAAACATAACATCCTCAGTCAACACTGTATATCAGCAGACAAACAGCATTTATATCTTATGACAAGTAACATATGACATCAGTCAAACACTCTATTCCATTATTTGAACACTGTATCTTATATCAAACACTCTATTCCATCAGTTAAACGCTGTATCTAATGTCAAACACGCTATTCCATTATTTGAACACTGTATCTTATATCAAACACTCTATTCCATCAGTTAAACGCTGTATCTAATGTCAAACACGCTATTCCATTATTTGAACACTGTATCTTATATCAAACACTCTATTCCATCAGTTAAACGCTGTATCTAATGTCAAACACGCTATTCCATTATTTGAACACTGTATCTTATATCAAACACTCTATTCCATCAGTTAAACGCTGTATCTAATGTCAAACACGATATTCCATTATTTGAACACTGTATCTTATATCAAACACTCTATTCCATCAGTTAAACGCTGTATCTAATGTCAAACACGCTATTCCATTATTTGAACACTGTATCTTATATCAAACACTCTATTCCATCAGTTAAACGCTGTATCTAATGTCAAACACGATATTCCATTATTTGAACACTGTATCTTATATCAAACACTCTATTCCATCAGTTAAACGCTGTATCTAATGTCAAACACGATATTCCATTATTTGAACACTGTATCTTATATCAAACACTCTATTCCATCAGTTAAACGCTGTATATTATGTCAAACATTGTATTCCATTTGTTGAACACTATATCTTATGTCAAACACTCTATTCCATCAGTTAAACGCTGTATATTATGTCAAACATTGTATTCCATTTGTTGAACACTATATCTTATGTCAAACACTCTATTCCATCAGTTAAACGCTGTATCTAATGTCAAACACGCTATTCCATTATTTGAACACTGTATCTTATATCAAACACTCTATTCCATCAGTTAAACGCTGTATCTAATGTCAAACACGCTATTCCATTATTTGAACACTGTATCTTATATCAAACACTCTATTCCATCAGTTAAACGCTGTATCTAATGTCAAACACGCTATTCCATTATTTGAACACTGTATCTTATATCAAACACTCTATTCCATCAGTTAAACGCTGTATCTAATGTCAAACACGATATTCCATTATTTGAACACTGTATCTTATATCAAACACTCTATTCCATCAGTTAAACACTGTATCTAATGTCAAACACGATATTCCATTATTTGAACACTGTATCTTATATCAAACACTCTATTCCATCAGTTAAACGCTGTATATTATGTCAAACATTGTATTCCATTTGTTGAACACTATATCTTATGTCAAACACTCTATTCCATTAGTTAAACACTATATCTTATGTCAAACATGCCATTCCATCAGTTAAAAACTAGATCTTATGTCAAACACTCCATTCCATCAGTTAAACGCTGTATCTAATGTCAAACACGCTATTCCATTTGTTGAACACTGTATCTTATATCAAACACTCTATTCCATCAGTTAAACACTTTATCTCATGTCAAACATTGTATTCCATTAGTTGAAAGCTGTATTTTATGTCAAACACCCCATTCCATCAGTTAAACACTTTATCTCATGTCAAACATTGTATTCCATTAGTTGAAAGCTGTATCTTATATCAAACACTCTATTCCATCAGTTAAACACTTTATCTCATGTCAAACATTGTATTCCATTAGTTGAAAGCTGTATTTTATGCCAAGCACTCCATTCCAACAGTTGAACACTTTATCTCATGTCAAACATTGTACTCCATTATTTGAACACTGTATCTCATGTCAAACACTCTATTCCATCAGTTAAACACTTTATCTCATGTCAAACATTGTATTCCATTAGTTGAACACTGTATCTTATATCAAACACTCTATTCCATCAGTTAAACACTTTATCTCATGTCAAACATTGTATTCCATTAGTTGAAAGCTGTATCTTATATCAAACACTCTATTCCATCAGTTGAACACTCTATCTCATGTCAAATATTGTATTCCATTAGTTGAACACTGTATCTTATGTCAAACACTCTATTCCATTAGTTAAACACTTTATCTCATGTCAAACATTGTATTCCATTAGTTGAAAGCTATATTTTATGTCAAATACTCTATTCCATCAGTTAAACACTGTATCTTATGTCAAACACTGTGTCTTATATCAAACACTGTATCTTATATCAAACACTGTGTCGTATATCAAACAGTGTGTCTTATATCAAACACCGTATCTTATATCAAACACCGTGTCTTATATCAAACACTGTGTCTTATATCAAACAGTGTATCTTATATCAAACACTGTATCTTGTATCAAACAATGTGTCTTATATCAAACACTGTATCTTATATCAAACACTGTGTCTTATATCAAACACTGTTAGTTATATCAAACACCGTATATTATATCAAACACTGTATCTTATATCAAACAGTGTATCTTATGCCAAACACTGTATCTTATATCAAACACTGTGTCTTATATCAAACACTGTATTTTGTATCAAACAGTGTGTCTTATATCAAACACTGTATCTTTCATCAAACACTGTGTCTTATATCAAACACTGTTTGTAATATCAAACACCGTATATTATATCAAACACTGTATCTTATATCAAACAGTGTGTCTTATATCAAACACTGTATCTTATATCAAACACTGTGTCTTATATCAAATACTGTATCTTATATCAAACACTGTATCTTATATCAAACAGTGTGTCTTATATCAAACACTGTTTGTAATATCAAACACCGTATGTTATATCAAACACTGTATCTTATATCAAACAGTGTGTCTTATATCAAACACTGTATCTTATATCAAACACTGTGTCTTATATCAAACACTGTATCTTGTATCAAACACTGTATCTTATATCAAACACTGTTTGTAATATCAAACACCGTATATTATATCAAACACCGTATCTTATATCAAACAGTGTGTCTTATATCAAACACTGTATCTTGTATCAAACACTGTATCTGATATCAAACAGTGTGTCCTATGTCAAACACTGTATTTATATCAAACACTGTATCTTATGTCTAACACTGTGTCTTATATCAAACACTGTCTTATATCAAACAATGTGTCTTATATCAAACACCGTATGTTATCTCAAACACTGTATCTTATATCAAACAGTGTGTCTTATATCAAACACTGTATCTTATATCAAACACTGTGTCTTATATCAAACACTGTATCTTGTATCAAACACTGTATCTTATATCAAACACTGTTTGTAATATCAAACACCGTATATTATATCAAACACTGTATCTTATATCAAACAGTGTGTCTTATATCAAACACTGTATCTTGTATCAAACACTGTATCTTATATCAAACAGTGTGTCCTATGTCAAACACTGTATTTATATCAAACACTGTATCTTATGTCTAACACTGTGTCTTATATCAAACACTGTCTTATATCAAATAATGTGTCTTATATCAAACACTGTTTCTTATATCAAACAGTGTCTTATATCAAACACCGTGTCTTATATCAAATACTGTATCGTATATCAAACACTGTTTATCAAACACTATCTTTCACGTTCTTTCACATTTTGTATCAATCGATCGATGAAACATGCACCGGCCTGCTTGTCAAACACTTTCTTGTTTCGGTATTTATCTTATGACATTTATTTGTCAAACAATTAAAAGTTTTCCTCAAATATTGTACCCATCAATCAAACATTGTATCCAACCAGTAAACCCCTCACTGAAACAAACAAACACATCCTTTCGTCAGTCAAACACTTTCCGCACAATCCAATATTGTTCGCTATCGGTTAAACAAGGTGTTCCGTAAAGATCAAACACGTGCAGTGTCACATGACGTTTTATGATAAAGTATTAAAAGTATTATATCACCATTATTATTAATATATCAATAGAGTCTAGCTCTTACAATGGCGAACTCCGTGACCTGTCGCTTAGATTGGCATGTACATGCGGAGCGTGTCGAAACTAAGCATCTTCTATAAGCATGTTTATTATCAAATGATGACAAAATTTTAAAACAAGTTCGTCGAAGGAAAATTCTTGTCAGGGAATAATTATGGACAGCTGACGAGCCCAGTTATATTTTAAACAGGAATTTACCTGATCACACAGGTACATTGTTCCGTGAACAACGACATCAAATGCACCGAGGAGCGCACTGCGTTAATTAGCTCCGTCAAGCTCCAGTCACCAGGACACAAACAAAGGGAGCCGGGTGCTGATCGATATTGCTTGCAAACCTTCGTGTACATCTTCGCATTAACTTTCAAAGCACGTGTTGAAAAACCTAACACTCCAAAATCAATAACCTTGTCTAGAGTCGGGCTGAAATATTTTCGATTTTTTTTCCGCCGAGACCAGTATAGCTATTCTGAACAGCATGGTGCGGTCCGGGTCACATCTGGGATATAAATTAGTCTAAATGTCAGCAACTGTGTTTTAGTTTTCTTTGTATTTCTGATAATTATCCGACCTCATTAGCAACATTGCAGCTCGGTAAGGGGGCGTGTATGTGTCGCCTACATGTAGCATGTCAGAAAATCACGTCTCTCGTTCAAGTGTAGACCAAACAGAGGGGATTTTCCTCATAATCGGCTAACATTTTCCTCTCAGGTTGATAATCGCGTATTTTTTTCCTCGTTGAATGGCCAATAACGATAGGCGAGCTTAACGCAAGACAAAAGCAGCTCGCGCGGGGTCAGAGGTCGCCAAAGCATGCCGGGACTGACGTGTGACGTCACTGACTGAATGTGCGTGCATTTGAATAACAAAATAAATCGGGAGGTGTACGAGTTGGCTTGATAGACTGTCAGTTACACTAACGCCGACCTGTTACCCACATGAACTATTCGGATGTAGCTTGATGGAACACTAGCTTCCCTCTATCCTTTTCTCCTCACAATATATCTTCTGTTCACCATCACACACGGCTAGCTAGCGGTGAGCACTCGGCGCGGTGGGATTCCCTGACTATATCATTGCTGTGATATCGTCGAAAGCTTGGACACCGTAGCGCCTCATCACGACTATAGAGGGGTTACCGAGCCTTGAACACTATGAGATCTAATGAAATGGCGAACCATACTACCACTGGGCTTAACACAGACACAACCATAGCGCTATCACAGAGCATGGATTCTGTCAACACTACACCAGAAGAAGAGGTAAGCTTATTTCAGCTTTTACTACCCCAGGCGTGAGATTCCGTCACCCCCAGGGCTGTCGCTGCCCCCGTGCCTACCCCAGAGGCGTGCGGGCTATTTTTGACAACTCACCACGTGAATTTCATGTAGGGGGGCGTTTTACAATGACCGTGTTGAAAGGTAGGAAACCTTATACTTTTGATGTGAGCTGGCGATATCTCGTGTTCAGTCAACTGTTGAAATGCAACAATTTCACGTGATAGAAGCCGTTTACACGCTGTTGTTAGTGTGTTCCTTATATTTACGTTGTGTAACAATGTTTATTCTAAATAATACGGCCATGGTTCCCCATTTAACTCTATTTTGATGTTAATGCTGTGAATGCTCATTTACATATTTTCACCTGTGGCGTAAACAGGTGTATATAGTGATAAAAGACGGGACTCGGTGCACAAGCGAACGCCCATTTCTATAGAGAATATCGCCCACCGGTTTATCTCTCCACAGCTCAGGCGAAATTCCTAAATTCATAATCGTCTCTCAGATTTATTATCGGCTTGTATTAAATACTGTACAGAGAATGAATGACTGCTCAATAGTCTGCCATCGACAATGCTAAATCTCCTCGTTCGAACGAGCGAGGCTTTAGGCCGGTACATGTTCACACAACCATAAAAGATTACATGAAATCGTCTTTCAGTTGGGGGTCGCATTAAATGGACAAGTTTATTGGAATGAAACGAACAGGGTTATAAAATAAGCCTGGCTTCATGAACTACTCGACCGGCCACTTTCACAAACCAGTTTCAAATTCCAGTTCGACCGTTCGCGATTGGATTACACTGTATGTGATTGTTTGGTTCTAAATTCTTTTCTCGTTATAGGGTATGCGATAGTATGTTCGTCCTTGCGAACAACAAGCCTCACAATTATACTCTTTGAACTTTGAAATTACGTGAAACGGCGACAATACTTGCTTGCTACCCAAAGTCCATCTCTTATTGTTCTACAGCATCTCGGCCGTTAGCCCCGAGTCGTGTGTAATCTTGCAGGGGCCACGCCCCCTATTATAAACACTTATCAGCGGAGAAGTCGGACAACAACGTTTCGTCCACCAGTGTCATAATAAACACAAATAATATTGCAAATTTCTTGTTATGAAGAAATTATATCAACTATTTTATGTCTGTCGCTACGTGGAGTTCAGACCTCGTTAAACTTTAATGTGACACTTGACACAATATCCCTCCTTATGTCCGTCGTTATCTCTCTCCAATACAATAGCTATTGTGAAGTGATTTGTTTGAAGGAGCAAGTATTATCTATTGCGGGGATTTCGTCATGGGCCTAGAAACGACAGAGTATTAAGACTTAAATACTGGAATAGCCAAAGGTTGAAACAGCCGTTGTTGAGCTCGAAAATCCATATTAACTTTGAATTAGACATTATTTTCACCAAACGGAGAGAAACCTTCAACCTACAACCAACAGATCACTCATTGTGTTATCATCTGATAGTGCTGTGCTCAAGCTGTTGCCGTGGTTGAATAAAGCGTTCAGGGCGCATATAGGTGTTTTGTAGCTTTTGTTAGTTACATCCATGAAATTACTTCATTCACAGTAAAATAGTAACGCAAGAGACCATCCCCATCAATACATCCAATGCTATAGTATATACACTCACAAAAATGCGAATCTTGTCAGCCAAAATGGCTGTAAAAAAGATGGAAGTGATCTTTTATGTTAACTGTTAACTGACAATTTTCCCCACACGTTCAGCAAGTTGATATTGATGTACGATATAGGAATGTTATCATAAATAGACAGGGGAATAATTAGGTTCCTGGTGGTGCTAGGTAATGCGATACGGGTAAAATGTAGAACATATTGCTACAGTTATATATACACTTGTGCATGCTAGGATGTGCATGGAGGAACTGCTACATTGTGTAGAACATTGTTACATTTTGTGACTCATTGTTACATTCAGTGTTGGATAACAGTTATAACATCCTTGATATAGTTACATGCAGTTTGTGCAAGGAAATGCGGTAAAAACACGCTGGAATTCGTTCAGAAGAAACTGCCGTCCGCGTTTCATTATGCGTATGATAACGCGAGTTTTCTCCCCTATCGTTGTGTTAATTGATGGCTGGATCTCAGATTTGTCGGAATTATTTGATACTATCTCGTCGATCGATACCGATTATTTTCAATTATCACCATCGTGCTGTTGAATTGTGGGTGGAATTTTCTGCGTGCATTCCCAGGCACTTGGTAATGCATCTGATGTTGATAATAATTGAAGAACGACGCCGATCTTTCGTTTGGTTTCATGTTGTCGGAAATTTATAATTAATTTACCAGAATGGTTTCAATCGATGTTATTTTAAGAATGACCAGCCATTGTATGCTGTAGTACAGATATCTACTCTGGTAAAGCCGTTACAGATATTTTGATATCTATAAACAGCATCCCTTTGTTGGAATGGGAGATAGTTTTAGAAATACATTCGGGAAAGAATGTTATCAACGTTTTAATTAAACCTATCAATTGTGTGTCTTTGATTTCTACAGATAAAGACTAAAGATTACACTCATGTCAGTCTGTTTTGTGGCGTGTGCTTTTAGAAAAAAACCTAAATTAATGTAGAACACGAAAGAGTAGAGACAGATTATCAGATTCACTGCGTAGTCGTTAGAAGTGGTTAATCGAAATCACACACCCAGCCTCACATTATTTACAGACAAGTATTATTCAACAAAATATGTTTTAGTTCTCGATTCGACAAAATGGTATCCACGTTTTCCTCAAATCAAGATAAACAATTCCCCACACAACTGCTATCAGCAGCCACGTCATATGCTAAAGCATCGGAGATAAAAAGCGCCGGCTTCTGCTTCAGTTATCGCAATTACATGTATTGAATATTGTCTTGATAAATGAATGGAAGCGAGACAATGTTAGCGAAGCAAGCGTCCATTAGAGAGTACACAAATGTCCACTATCCTCGTGATCGCTGTACAGACAGGGAAACAGGTTAGCCGAGCTCCATACCTGTCAGTTAGGAGGTCGGTCCTGTCGAGAGCTACCTATTGATCAGCCCACTATGGCGATTTGAAAGACTGCTCGTCCAGATCGAAAAGAAGGCCACTGTTCCAAACACACAGGCCCTTTGGAAAGTCTCGTGCGGCGATTTTTTTATGTCGATTCGAAAGAGCAGGCTATTATGTTCGGGAAAAAAGCTACGGTATTCATTTTATTACGAGTATCGAATACCGACTGTCATTATTATGAAGCGACAGGGAAAACATTGAGCGCGATAGCTGCTTGGGAATACAGTCCACTGTCATTGCAGAGCGTTCAATCGAAACGGTTCCAGCCGCACTCATTTAACCCAGAGCATCGTCAGAAACAGCAAGTCTGCTGTGGGTCACTGGTTCCTGACCCAGAGCTTTTCATACACAGTTCCTGAACAGGTCGAACGTCTTTTCCTCCACATAAGTCGGGACGAGGTTTGCCATGCCAGACCCTTCATCTGGGATAATTCAGTTATGATGAGAATTTGTTCACGGCCGAGTAGAAGAAGCCGTGCGTTACGATAAATACCCACCCCCGCCCAGCGCAAGTCGGTAGCTCCAAGACGCAACGACCTGCATTGCAACGAAAACGATTTTCACAAGAGAGGTCACAAAATCGTTAGTTTCCCACATTATTTCTCGGATCACACGACTTCACTTGGCCCCGGGTTTCAATCTTTATATACACGATGAGGGGAATTGACCTCGAAAGAAAGTAGACCTGAAACTGTCCTAAAAAGAAATAACCCAATACGTCGTCTCCGAAATCAGCTCCTTGGGAAAACCATCTCTCGACTTAAAGGAAAACCGTTGATCCGACGAGAGGGATGATAATTTACTCGTGTAATATATCAACGCATATCTAATCTTGCGCATGAAAATCAATCGTTAAACTCCATTAAAACTCACGCTAACCAGGTTGTGAGAAGGTTAGTTTTGTAACTCATCTTGCGCTTAATACGTTATAGAAACACGATTATGCTTTCTCCACACGACACAACAGTTATGTTTATTCCACATTAAAGGGTCCATGATTTGAAATTAGACCCATGTAGGTAATGAACAGTACGTTTATATATATCAATTTATTTCCTTCCTTAGAAACAAGCCAATATGACATCGGAGTCACAACATTTGCGTCGTAGGAAATGATGATAAAATATACATGAACCAAGTCGAGCATTAACACGGTGTTGAAACACGATATTCCCCTGTGTGAATAAAATTTTAATTGTACACGGTCGGGGCAGGAAAGGAAAAATCGCAGCCCCTACCCAGCGTATTACTTAATTTACACAGGGTATTTTTCAAGGGGTCTTTGAAAATGTTGGGTCAGGGCAACACTATGAGAAAACATGGCCCCGATCGAGGAATGTCTCCTCGTTGAAACTTGTCTTGAGCGAGCTAATTGATTCGTGTAACCATCGTGTATGCTAATATAGAATGTTATCGACTGGTTTACCATTATTGAAAACACGTATAAGTATTAATACGATGATCATTGGTGATGAGTCGGTACATTCACGGGAAACAAGCCCAGTGAGACGTTTCTTATCACGATTTCAATAACTTTCAAACATGTTTGTCAGTGAATGTATGCTATATCAACCCCGCCAGTGCGTTACTCGTCCATTATATCTCCTTTGTCAATTAAACGTCGAAAACCGATTGAGGAAATTGCTACATGAAGCAGATATTTAATACATTCAATAAATAAATTGCAATGCCTTGTTTTATCTGTGAACCCACGATGTTGGCCAAAGTTTTTGTTTGTTGTTTAACGCCACACTCACCAATATTCCATCTATATGACGACGGTCTGTAAATAATCGAGTCTCGACCAGAAAATCCAGTGGTTAATATCATGAGCATCGATCCACGCAAATGGGATCAATGACATGCATCAACCAAGTCAGCGAGCCAGACCACCCGATCCCGTT